TATATCAGTGTGGAGGATGTCAGGAGAGAGGATGCAGCGTCTACAGACATCCGTGAAACACAGTGGATCCTTGATTATGGTCTGAGGCTTAATTTCAGCCAGTGCTGTTGGAATCTTGTCAAAATTGATGGCATTATCAGTGCAGAATACCATGTGATGCATCATGCAATAACATCTGGGGTGGTTCCATAGTGTAGTGATTTATACAATTACCAAATGAGCAAAATATTGCTGGTTCAATCCCTTAAGGAGCAACGAATCCCTTTATGGCCATGTCAGGACGATCTGGTGCAAAAGCTTGCCAAGTCTAATATGCAGAGCTACCTGTTGTGGTAAGGGAGTAGTTGAATTTAGCTCCCACTATGCAATACCTAGGAAGTGTTTAATCGGCAAGTACTTCAATTTTGAGCAGAGCAATGATCCCAGACACACTGCCAATGCAGCAAACATACACCTGGATAAAAATGTAGTCATGGATGGGCCTCCCCAGCGACCAGATCCAAGTGTGGGATCATTCTGAGATAATCTTGACACGGAAACAAAAGGCAGCCAATATCTGAAGAAGGGCTTTGGAATGTCCTTTAAGAATTCTTGAGAATCGTTTCCAAAGAATACTTAAATATATTACCAAAGAAATTGCCTAAGAGGGTTCAGGTTGTTGAAGAACAATGATGATCATCTTAAATATTGACTTTAAAGGTGAAGAGAAGTGTACAAACTAGAATTTTATTTAAATGTATGTTTGCACATTTTCATCATTGCACTTTTTTTTCTCATTTTTGTGGCAAAGTATACAGAAACAAAGGTTGGCTCAAGACTTTTGGACGTTATTGTAAATCCAATTAATGGCTGCAAGAGAAATTAGGAACAGGAAAAGGAAAGAATTGTATGGATATATTTTGACCTCTGATGAATGTTCTAATCTTCGGCCATAACATAACTTAGCAATTTGCAACACCAAGCACAAGACTGTGCCCAATTACTCTGCTGGTTAATTTGTGTTAAAAAAAAACAAAAACCTAAAACAAAAACAACTTTTTCTTTTAGATACTGGATGCTACATTGTTTTCTGTATGTCCATGGAAATATTTATACTGATATAAAAGAAAAAGAAATCTATTGTACAAGAGTTATAGGTCTAACACAGAGTGCTGGGCCATTTCCTTTAATATAACTTCTCTAATATCTCTGACAAACTACATAAAGACTCAAAACAGAACTCACAGAAGGAAGTAGTTGTTTATTGTTTGGGTGTTTTTGTTGTTGTTTTTTACTTAAAGTGAGAGTTACTTGATATGTTGTCAGTAGCGAGTTCATCAACAGGCAAGCATTCAATAAAGCTCAACAAGTTCAGAGACCAGCAGACAGAGTAGCATTAACTAAGGTGTC